ATATATATATATATATATATATATATAGGTAAAGGTTCAAATGAAAACCAAAAAAAGTTAAGAACTATAAGAATCATTTTTTAAACTTATAATTAATCATATATTTATTATTTTTCAAATGACATGATTGTAAATAACAACAAATACTAGCCTAGTTTCACAAACAAATAATCAAATATCAAAAACTAGATCTAAATTACATCTGATTCATTCTATCATATTTCTCAAAAATATCAACCTCTCTCTTCCTTCCCTCCTTCTACTACCGACATATTCCATTAATCGCTTCCGTCGCCATGTCCGCCCACCTCCGGATCGTCGGAATCCAAGTCGGCACCGACACTGCCGTCTAGATCTGTAACTTCTACTCTACATGTACCAGATCCACTGATAGCGTCGTCCTTATAGATCTCGACATCTGTGATTTCTGTTGGTAACTGCCACCACCGACGACATACGAGGCTAGATATAAGACTCCGATGAGCGGTGATGTCAGATTCACGAGCACCGGCGAGAGGAGTGTCCAGATCTACCATCTCCGGTGAGTGGAAATTCCCAATTTACAAGCTCTGACGGCTATGATCTACCGTAATCGCCTCTTTATAGATTTGCTTCATCTCCTACCACCACCGCAACGCTACTCTTCCACCAGTGTTGTGTTGAATACAATCGAAATCGAAGGTGGATTAACGTCAGTTATGTTGAATACAATCATTAACCAGAACTACAAAAATCCAAAACCGACCTTAGACCTGTCATCGCCCCTCGCCATTACTAGTCGCTGGAGAAGAAGCAGATTCAAAGCTTTTATGCTGGATGAGAGAGAGGCAGTTCATGTTGGCTTATCAATGGTTTTATTTTTGAAGAAAGCAAACGATCGACAACTTGCATTACAGAGACATAAGAGGTAATCTTCTTTATTTTTTTATTTAAGTACTGTCACTATTCCCTAGCTCCTAGCTATTACTTAGCTCCATAAGTTCATACGTACCTTAATATATTGTCACTATTCCCTAGCTTCTAGCTCCTAGCTATTAGTTACCTATCCTTTGTTAATAGAATATCACATGCCATTGATTCTATATTTACTTTTGCCTCTTATTTTTATAGCTTTATTTTTGTTTTATGATTTGTCTAATCATTAAGAATTTAGCTATTTCATAATTATAAAATTTTGAACAATTAATTATACATATTTTGAGTTTGATTTTTTAAGAATATATCATTATATTATAATATAAGCCTTTTTATTTTAAAAGTCTTACTTTGTGTTTGACAAAAAAAAATTAGTTTTGTTATGATTGGTTTTCTTTTTGTTAATGTGTGAATTAATTTAATGTTTTAATATCTTATTTATTGTTTGTTTTTGTTAATTTTAGTTTTTACTGCTATTTAGCTATTTATTTGTGAATCCAAGTTTTTTTTTATTATTTGTTATAATATTTGCACAAAAATGATATTCAAAGTTTATGTTTTTGGTTGTTATATTGTGAATTAAATTTAGAATATGTGTTATCATATTAGGTTTTTCTCAAATAATTTGAATTTTTTTTTAAGTTGTGAATGGTGATGTTTTAATTTTCCAATTATTGTTTAGTTCTGTTAATATTAGTTTTAACTGTGAATGAGTGAATTAATATGTTTTTAAGCTGTGAATACTAAAGATGAGAGTACTAGACTGTTTTAATAAATTGTGAATGAGAATCCTAAAAGACTCTGTTAAACTGTGAATTTGTGTGGTTCACACAAGGTATTTGATGAAACGCTTAAACAAAATCAATATGTTTTTAAGTGGTAAATACTGTGAATTAGAGTCTAAAACTCCTTTATTAAATTGTGAATTAAAGTCTTAAAATATTTGTTTTAAATTGAGAATATGGTCGTGAATGTATAATTTTTATGTATTAGACTTTGAAGTTATTATATTAAGCTGCAAATTTTGTGTATTAAACTGTGAATTGATTGTATTAAAATGTGAATTAACTATATTAAACTGTAAATTAATTGTATTAAGTTGTGAATTGATTATATTAAGTTGTGATTTTTTTTATTAATTATTTGTTTGCTTTTGAAATATGAGATGAATGAAACATTATATAAAAATATTATTTTATCTCATTTTGAATAAATTATATAAAATTTAAATTGTGAATATTTGTGTAAATAAAATTTGAAAGAAGCAATAGTCTACAGATCTGAATGTATAAATGTGAGTTTTAATTTGAGCATATATTATTTTTTATAAGTTTAAAGTTTTTTTTAAATCGATCATCTGAATATCTTTTTATAGAGCATACAAGGTGTTTGATTAAATTGTGAATAAGAGTCCTGAAATGCTTTATTAAACTGTGAATTCTATTTTTTTTTATCAAGATTTGAATTTTATACCTATAAAATAGTTGTGAACATAGTGTATTAAACTGTGAATATGTGTTTTATGCATTAAATTGTGAATATGTAAGTTAAGTTATGAATGTGTTTTTTTATGCACTAACTTGTGAATTAGTGTCTGAAATATTGAATTAAGTTTTCAATTAGTGTCTGAAATATTAAATTAAGTTGTGAATTAGTGTCTGAAATAATGAATTAAACTGCGAATTTTGTTTTTTTAATCCTTTTCTGATTTTTTAGGGAATGATGTTGTTGGTGTTGACATTGATGTTTTGTGGTGACGATGGTTGATGGCAACGTATGGTAGACTGGTATTTGGCAGTGTTAATGGTGGCGATAGTGGAAGAGTAATGATATTTTCTATTTCTCACTCATCATCTTCGTTGATTTTAGATAAGTTATCCTTTTTTATGATTAACGTATATATTTTTCTTTTGATGTTTGCTTATGAAGTATGAGATAACTTATGTATGTATTAAAATATAAATGAGTTTTTCATACACTGAAATATGAGATTATACTTGTAAATAAGTTGTGAATATATTGTATTAAACTGTGAATTTGCTGTATTAAGCTGTAAATTTGTTAACAGCTTAGTATAATAAATTCACAATTTAATAGATAAAAATGCCTCTAGATATGAACATATAACTGTTAGTATTAAGTTAAAAAAATATAGCCATACATATATATTTTTTGTGTATTAAACTATGAATTACTGTATTAAGCTGTGAATTTTATGTATTAAACTTTGAAATGATTGTATTAAGCTGTGAATTGACTGTATTAAGATTTGAAATTTTTATGAATTTTGTATTTGCTTCTGAAATATGAGAAAAAAGAATCATTATACATATATATGATTTTCTCTAATTTTAACAAAATTATATAAAATTTAAATTGTGAATATTATGTACATTAAATTTTGAAAAACACCAACCGTTAGATCTAAATGTATAAATGTATGTTTTAAGTTAAGAATATGATATTTTTATGTATTAAAGTTTTAATTTTTTATATTAAGATTTAAATTATATATATATTAAACGATAATTGAGTATATTAAATGATGAATTGACTACATGTTGCTGTGATTTTTTTTAATAATTTTTGTAATAAAATATGAATGATTTATGTAAAAAAATTTGAATTAATTTCTTGTAAATATATTTATTTTTAATGTTATATAAGTATGTAAGAATGCCTTAGTTTTTATAATTATTTTGCATTAAATTCAAAAT